CACATGAATACACAGCAGTATAAGGCAGAGGCATTAAAGCATTTATTGCATGGAGGTACCGCCCTAGGTATTGGTAGGTCAGAAGAACCTGAAAGTTTGTGGGATAATCCTACTTTGTATTCTCAAATCTTTCCATGGCTATTTCCATATGGTAAAGGGGGTATTGGTCATGCCCTAGCTAAGAATAAGATAGAAGATCACACACGGAAAGGGCAGCTGCTACTTTACCATGATAAACGCTTTCAAATCGATCCTATGTTCCCATTAGTTGCCTTGAATCATGAACAAATCAAACAATGTGCTCAAGCTGGTAGTCTTTTAACCAACAAAGCCAATTTTAACTCGGTAGCAGACCGCTTGGTGAATTTGGATCAGCCAACTTTACTGTCTCTAATTGAAAAGATGAAAGAGGGCAAACTTGTGAAAATACAGACTCAAGAAGAGAAGAACTGTTTTAGAGTGATTTCTGATATTGATTATGTAGCACAACATGTGTCAAACTCTAGAACTAACCAGAAGTACATGAGAAATGAGGCATGGGCACTTGTTCATTATCTTGGAGCCCCTCACTGGTTTGTAACATTCTCTCCTACAGATAATAAACATCCGTTATGCCTATATTATGCAGATACAGATGAGAAAATATACCCAAACATTTGGGATAACACAGCTAGAATGAAACTTATTGCAAGAAACCCAGTGGCATCAGCCCGTTTCTTTAAAGTTATAGTAGACTTGTTCATTAAATATGTGTTAGGCATAGATAATCCCGATAAACTTGGATTGTATGGTGAAACAGAAGGATATTATGCCACTGTTGAGCAACAAGGTCGTCTCATGCTACATTTACATGCTCTGATTTGGATTAAGCATGGATTGACACCTCAAGAAGTGCGTGATCGTATTCTTGATGAAAATTCTGACTTCCAGACTCGATTGGTACAATATATTGAAAGTGTTCAGAAAGGAGAGTTTTATACAGGTACAATGGCCACAGTAGCTGGAAGAGCACGTGAGGAAGAAGCATCACCCAACTATCAATGTCCTACACTTTGCCTTCCTGAAAAAGCTCCTGCTCCATGTGAGTATCACTCTAGCAATGAATCAGATATAGATTGCACCGATTGTGATACCAGCCACTCTTGGTGGTCTAATGTATTTCAAAAGGTGGTAGATATCATCTTATTTAGATCAAATAGACATAGCTGTGAAAAGGGAGGGTGTAAAATCAATAAGCTTAATAACTGTAAAGCAAGATTTCCAAGAGACACATATCTTGAATCTTCCATTGATCCTGATACAGGAAGTCTCCGGCTACGCAAAGGAGAGGCCTGGCTAAATACATTTTCACCTATTCTTACCTTTCTCATGAGATGTAATACGGATGTCACTAATTTATTGTCAGGTACAGCTATTAAAGCCGTTATAGCTTACACAACTGATTATATCACAAAGCCAGGTTTACAAACACATGTAATGTTTGATGCTGTTAAAACTGTATTTGAAAAACATGAAGACATTCTTCATGGTGATGCTAGTAAAGGAGTAAAGGCACGCCAACTTATGGTAAAGATTGTAAATGCGTTAACCGCTCGTAAAGAAATTGGTGCTCCTATGGCATGCCTTTATCTTCTGAAACATCCAGACCATTATACAAATTTCAAGTTCATTGTATGGTATTGGCCACAGTTTGTCAATCATATAAAAGAAGAGTTTGGTATTCCTTTATATGGATCTGACAAAAATAGAGATAAGGTTACCATCCGCAGGGTAGAAGAGTCCATTGTATCATTATCCCCTGTAATTGACTATATATATAGGCCATCTGTATATGGCAATGTTTGTCTCTATGACTGGATAACTATATATACAAAGAAGTACTGTGGCCCTGCACGCTCAAGGAAAGATAAAAATACAGTAAATGACATAAGTAATAATGAGGCAACAACACATAATATCATTCAGGAGGATGACAGTGCTGATGAACTTGATCTATTTCGGCACAACTCTCCAGATGCCACAGAATGTATACCTGTGTCTGTAAATACGGAACAACCTTCACAGAGCTCATCAAACACTGTATATTCTGATGATGAAGACACATCTGACACTATAGTTCCAGATGACAAAGAAGACACAGACGAAGATCCTGCAGACATCATGAGCATTGATGAAAATGAGTTCACTCAGAAGACTAAGACATCCAAACGAAAGAGTGTAAAAAGGTCAAAAACAAGTAAATCTACACATCGATTCCTTTCTGAACACCCAAGCTGGAAAATATATGACATCATTAAACGGGAAGAAAACATGGTCCCAATACTGACAGGAGGAACACTTCCACGTAAGGATGGAAATCGTGAAGACTACTGTTTAACAATGCTGGTATTTTTCAAGCCATGGCGTTCAGGAAAGGATCTCAAAGCTAATGCAGAAAACTGGGATACTATATTTCGATCCTATGATTTTACAGAAAGACAGGTAACTATTATGAAGAACTTCCATATCAAACATGAATGTCATGATGCAAAAGATGATCATTATGCACAAAGAAAGAAAAATGCAGTTGATTCTGGTTATCTACCTAGCAACATATCTGACTATATTGATGATATGCATTATCAAAGTGAAGTGGACAAGTATGAAGACTCAGAAGATCTACTGGAGCGTGTAAGAAAACAGTCTAATAAAGAGGGCCGTGGGTATCAGAATAATAAGAACTTGATGAATCTAATGAAGAGTAAATTAATATTGACAGGGTGGACGGATAGAACTGATGTAGATATAACATGTCCTGAATTTGAGCATTTTGACTCTGGCTTAAATTCTACTGCACAGTGGAGTGATTTACTTCAGACAAAGAAAGAAGAGATTATTCGCCTTCGAACTGAAACAATTGCAAAAGAAAAACAAGTTGTGGCCAAGCAAACTGAAGATCAAATGGACTGGATTGACACCGTTAAAGAGGTAGATCGGTCTTATTTACGAATGGACTTCCAAATGCAGAAAAAAGAGGATAAACAGCTTACTAGAGCAACTATTATGAAGTTTTCCTTGAATGAGGAACAAGAGCGAGCTTTTAGAATATTGATCAATCATGCTACTCACCCAACTGGAGAAAACTTACTATTGTATGTTTGTGGTATGGCTGGTACAGGAAAATCACAAGTAATTAAAGCATGGAAACATTTCTTCAAACAGAAGAATCAACCTTTTAGATTTATGGTCATGGCTCCAACAGCCTCTGCAGCTGCTGTTGTAGGTGGTTCAACTTACCATTCCACATTAGGCTTTCAAAAATCAACGCCTATGAAAACAGTGTCAGCCTTGAACGCTGTAAGAGAGCGATTAGATAATGTAGACTATATATTTCTGGATGAGATATCTATGGTAGATTGCACCAGCTTTTATGAGATGAGTGCTCAGATGTGTGTGGCTACTGGTCTTATTGACTATCCTTTTGGTTCAAAGAACTTTGTCATTGCAGGTGACCCTGCCCAATTGCCACCCGTAAAAATAGCTGGTCCAGCATTATACAGCGATACTGTAGGGTCTGTCATACATAGAACACATGCTTTAAAAATACAAAAGCAATCCATGGGAAAGGCATTATATCATCAGTTCATTCATGTGGTTATGCTTCGACAAAATATGAGGCAGAAGGGACAGTCAGCAGAGGATGCTGCCTATAGGACAGTATTAGAAAATCTACGGTATAAGAAGTGTACACAAGCTGATTTAGATCTTATGTTAACACGTGTTGCTGGGAGAGGTCCCAATAATCCTAAAATATATGATAAGAATTTCAGATCAGTGCCCATTATTACTGGTCGTAATGCTGCACGAGATCAGACTAATGTTACAGGAGTAGGTTTATTTGCGGCAGATACAGGTCAACAACTAATTACCTTCTATTCTATGGACAAATTTAGAACATGGGCTGATACTGAAAAGAAGATTGAACGTAAAAGAGGAAAGAAACCAGTTGATTTGACCAGACAAACTGATGATGTAAATGGGAACATCCAAGAGGCCCTATGGCAACTATGGCCATCAAGGACAGAGCATCATCCTGGTATGCTTCACCTGTGTAAGGGCATGCCTGTTATGATCAAAGATAACCAAGCCACTGAACTTGCTGTCACAAATGGTGCTGAAGCGGAAGTTGTTGATTGGACATCACATCCACTGCCCGATGGAAAACCTGTGCTAGATATACTGTTTGTCAAGTTGAAATACCCACCTTTTACAATTCAAATAGAAGGTTTACCAGACAATGTTGTACCAATCAAAAGATTGGCAAAGGATATTAAATGCAGTATGAAGGATGATACCACTATTTTAATAACACGTGATCAAATCCCTATCGTACAAGATTTTGCTATGACAGACTTTGCATCACAGGGAAGAACTAGACCATATAATCCAGTCGATCCTGAATTCTGTTTAACACACCAGTCTCTATATACAGCTCTGTCTCGAAGTTCCACCCTATCTGGTACAATATTACTACAGCCTATTGATCCTAAAATTGTTCAGGGCAAACTTAATCGTCCACTTAAACAGGAATTTAGGGAGCTTGAGCTTCTTGATGATATCACTAAGCTTAGATACTTGGGTAAACTCCCCAGCAATATCAATGCAAACACTAGAGGTCATCTGATAAAACAGTTTCTTGATTGGAAAGGCAACAATTATATACCTTCAAGAACACAAAGTTGTTTACATTGGAGTGATAAAGATCCACTATATCCTACATCAATGCCAAACATAATTACTCCTTGGCAGTACCTAGATCAAGAACGATTAGATAACAATGTTGATGATACATCAAACACTGATCATGATTTAGAAACTGATGGTATGAATGCTGACATTCATAGTGAACCTCCTCTAGATCACTTTGTCACCGCTAAGGGTACAGTCTCACTCGGTACTATAAGTAATGACCGGCCAAATGTAGCCAATAACAAAAAGCGTAAAAGAAAAATATCTAATACCAGGCGAGGCCCAGAGGTACATTCATGGAATGCTACAACCTGGAGCTGTGCATATGACAGTATCCTTACAATACTAAGGCATATCTATGTTGATAATACAATGATGTGGCTAAGTCGATGGGCCAACATGAATGTATATATGCAGTATTTAACAGTATCATGGGAGGATCCCAAGGTAGACTTGAATATGATCAAAGATGCATTACAAACAAGAATGAATGCATTTAATGCTACAGATTTTCCATGTGATAATACAAGGGGAACTGACATACATACCCTGTGTAGAGAATTATTCAAGGATGAATCAAATAAATATTATCAAATAATAAAGTGTCGTGTTTGTAACTTACAACTTCCTTCTAAACAATATACAAATTATCATTGGGATATAACATCAACTAGAAAGAATTCGGTTGCTGTTGCTGTACGATCATATCTTCATAACACTAATAAAAAGTGCCGATGTAAAGAACCACTGGTATCACATATTGAATTTGGATCATCTTCCCCTCCTGTAATTGTATTGGTAATGTCACAAACAATGCAAATATCTAAAACATTTTCTATAAAGCATAATGACATATCAATTAGATATATTCTATCAGGGCTTGTATATTATGGTGGCAATCATTTCACATGTAGAGTGTTTGATAAAGCAGGTAACTGTTGGTATTCAGATGGTGCAGAATCAGGAGAAACACCTATAAATGATGGAAAGATGAGTAATATATCTAACTTACACATAACACGTGGAAGGAACATATCATTAGCTATATATTCTATTGATGTGATGTAGGTATGCCATAAGTATTTAACTTATGCATTACTTATTATATTGTAATCTGTTCCTTATCTCATCTGTCTCATTAGGCACCCCCACCTTAGCATCCCTAATATTATTCTACTATTTTTCCGTATTTTTATTGGCCACCGTTTTATCCATATTCACCCTACAATCATACCTGTTAATATTCTCTTTTTTGTCCATACATAACCCAGCCTGTTTCACTATATATGACCCACACATTCTTCACATTTCCTAGCATTCCTACCCTATCCGCTACCCCCTACTCTACCACCAAGACCACCCCTGCACATCTTACACCATCATCCTGGGCACCTGGCCACCTAGAATCACCCCCCAGCTGCCCCAGTAGTCAGCCCAGTACTGGCATTTATAAGTCTTGGGCCAGAGGAACCATTGTAAAGGATAGTATGTCATGACCTTCTGTCATCTCTATGCCTTTTTCCATTATTTTCTGGTCTGTGCCACAGTTGGGCCACACTTTTCCGAGTTTCTGTGCCACAGTGGCCTGGGTTTGGTTGTGTTTGGTTCTGGCTAGTATATAAACCTACCTACTTCCTGTTTTGTACTCTAGTCTTGAGATCGTCAGTCTCCCCCCTATACAACATTTTCCTCGCCCTTGGTGTGTGTTTCTGAGTGAGAGATCGCCTGTCAGCAACCCCTCTTTGTAGGATATGGTTGTTCTGGTGTGGTCGTGACATAGTACCTTTATAAATGGCTTACATCTATGTCTGTCATTCAAACAAGGCTTACCTGTACTGTAAATCATTTGGGACTTTATGAAATCATCCAGAGTTGAGTCTGTTTTGACGAGTGCATTGATATCTTGCCTTTTTCCACATTTTTTAGCTCATATGTTGTTCAATGTCGACAATTCAATGCTATAAAGACTTTGCAAAGACTCAAAGGTACATGTGAAGGTGCAATACGGTGATACTGGGATGCAAGTTGTTGCAACTGTGATGATTGTGCAAGTGAAGAATGAAGTGGAGGGGATGCCACTTGAGTTGTAACTTGAGCCGTAACCTCAGTTAGAGTGTTCAGTTGAGCCCGATACCTTGATGTGGCACAAGTTAGTTGATCATTGTGGCTCACTTGTCTGGCATATATTAAGG